CCGACTTGTTCTGCACTGGCTAAGGAAAACATTACTTTAACAGTAAGAAAAAAAGAGGGCAAGCTTCCAAGCAGCAAATTGGATAATTCACACAAAACCCGAGTGTCGCCCAGCGTCGCAGCGACCTTCGTCGGCGCAGCTTTACGGCAAGGACCCGCATTTTTAAGGCGGAAAAACGTAACACAGCACTCCTCGTGTAAACAGCCCGGCGCCTGCTGTTACGCTTGCAATGAATGATTCGCAATATTAAAGAATGAAGTACTTGATTTAGAAGACGAAGCAGGCAACGTGCAACCCGGTTTTTGATACCAAGCACAGCCACCCCCTTCGGAAAGGTTCGCTCTTAAGTTTGATGTTCTGGCTCTTAAGAGAAAGGTTACTAGCTGAAATAAATCAAAACCTAAAGGAGGCTTCAGGCAGAAAGGATTCAGGTGATCCTTTGGCGAGGAAAAGCCACTTTTGTTAGAAAACAGAAGAAAGCAAACTTTTGTTAGTGCTTACTTCTTTTAAATTCCGTCCAAAAAAGAAACCTGAAGAGATTTAAGTTTCGACCTCAGTTTAAACCAGGACTCAATCTCATCAGGGCTTGTCTGCCTTTCGGAGATGCGTGACGGGACGGCCGCAGAAGCCCTCTTCTCCAGCCCGTTTTAATGGGGTACCATATTTTTTTTCTCCTTAGGCACAGAAAAACATTCTCTTGGCTTTGGGGAAACACTCGCCCGCCCCCACGCAGCCCAACTCCTAATTCCCTGCAACGCTCCCGCTCCCAGCTTTAGCATCCAAGGCTCCTCCGGGCTGGAATAAACCACCCGACGCCGGGCTCGTCTCCAGCCCCATCCCTCTCACCCAGCAGCAACACATCCCACCCCTTCGCCGTCACCACCCTGACCCGTTCCTCCTGCTGCATCAACAGCAGATGCAGGGCGGGATGCTGCAGGAGATGCGAGGGGGGAAGACGTTGCAGGAGGTGGTGGGGGGGGAAGACGCTGCAGGAGATGGCGAGGGGGGAAGACGCTGCAGGAGATGGCGAGGGGGGAAGACGCTGCAGGAGATGCGAGGGGGGGAGATGCTGCAGGAGGGGGGGAGGGGGG